AAGAAATTATTCTGTTTATAATTGGTTGGCGTTCGGGAGGGTTAGAAGTCAAAACACTAAATTTGTATGTCTCTCATTTATTAGCATGCATCGAGCTCAGTATGTTCCTGTCATGAATTTTCATAAGGATTTTTACTACGTAGCATGTGTGGCTTAATGATGCAATCACCTGATAGACTAGGAAGACTCCAAAGGAGACGTTCCGGTCTGTTGTGTACATAATACTTGTTTCAAAAATCTGCCTAATTAAGGAATTACCCAATGGAATGCAAGTCTACTGGGTGCATGACATGGTTAAAGAAAATAACAACAACAAAACCCCTTAGTATAATTACGATATTACATGATATCTTATATTGGCAATTTTGAATATAAGGGAATGATGCAAACCTGCCATTGTTTCAGCTGGTATACAAGTAGATTATGATAATTTGGAAGGGGAAAATAAATGTATATCTTTCAGTGATAGAGCTGTTCTGACCGTTTCCCTGCCCAGCTCCAGTCTACAACCCGCAGTGTGTAATGATTCACTTGATGATGATCTTTCAGTGGCTCAAGAAATTGGTGAAACATCACTGCTAATGAGTTTTACTCCCAGCCTTATGTCTTGTTTGTCTCAGTGAGTTGCAGAAAAAAACAGACTGTGCGGTATGCAGAGCTTGGCCTTGATGGGCTTGGTGTGGGGAGGAGTGCCCGGGTCTGCTGCTTGGGTTGTGGAGGTGTCTTCCCTTCACGCTTTTCTTTAATCCACCATTTAATTACTTGCCTTTAGACTCAGCAAGAAATAACAGCAAAAATTACCTGATAGATTATGTATGAGCATAGCAATGGATGTGATGGACCAGAAGAAATAACTGCCTGGTCCCGGCACGTGAGAATGGCGCTGGGTAATCTGGAGGTGGTGTAAGGAGCCGTAGCTAGCCAGCCAGGTTTACAGAATTATCCCCTCGCACGCTAAAGGGAGTTGCCCAAACTGGTGCTGGATGTAACAGAACCAGCCCCTGCGGTGCAAGGTTTAGGCAAAGGCAGCGCAATGCTGACGGGCGCTGATGGACTGAGGGAGGCACGGCCTCTCTTCCCCCCGACAACAAGACTCTGGGCAGGCCAGGGAGCGCCTCAGGGTCTCATGTCGGTGTCAGGGTGGTTCCACCGGTGCACAAGCAGGGCAGGTGCTTTCCCTCCACTGGGGACTTCATCCGTCTGGGCCCAGCACGTCTGTGAGTGACCAGAGGCCACTGCGTGGGTCAGGCTCGAGCCAGCCCTGGTCACTGGTGAAGCTGGGGCAAGCCACTGCTCCATCCTGGTGTCTGAGGCACAATGCCACAAGGTGATACCGGAGGTGTGATGTCACGAGCTGTGATGTCATGAGGTGTGATGACACAGGGTGTGATGCCACGAGGTGTGATGACTCAGGTTGTGATGCCACGAGGTATGATGTCACAAGGTGTGATGACACAGGGTGTGATGCCATGAGACACGGTGCTGCGCAGGGGAGGCCGGCTGGCACGGCTGGCAGCGAGATGCCTTTGTCCAACGCAGGCACTTGGAGTGGCACAAAAGGGGACTCTGCTCTGGTCCGCTCCGCCACCAGGGTCGTTGCGTCACGCGATGTGGAGGGGCAGAGAAATACACAAAAATAGGGGTCAGAAGATTTTCCTTAATTAGTGAGATTTAGCCAGATTGCAGATCCTAAGTAGTAACGAGCTTCATAAAAGCGAGCCCTCATTGGATCAAAGTCGGTGCAGATAAGGGGAACTCAAGGTCACAGAGGGAGCTGCCCAGCAGGTCCATTTGCATAAAAAATTACTGTCAAAAATAGGCCAGAGAGGCAGCCCTGGCATTTTGATCTCTTGGCCTTTGTCATGGAGATTCCTAGTTGAGAAGGGAGGAAGGCCAGTGTCCCAGATAATGATTAACTGTTTTAATGGCATTCATTCATTCATTCCGCACTAACTACTCATGCAGAAAAAAGGGTTATGTAAAATGACATTAGAAGAAAAATCATTTGTAATCGTTGCATCAGGCTGCACTTTGAGGAGACATTAGGAGTAAATCCATGGCGTGGTAGGCTTATGCTTTATCTTCTGATATTTACTGAGTTTACTGGTGCATGAAAAGCTTTCAGCAAGAATAGCAGATGGGATGGACCTTTCATAGGTAATGCTATCTACCAGGTTATTACTTCTATATATTGATAGTGAAGTAATCTCCAAGATATCACCCTACAAATATAGATTATTTAAATGTTTGTAACAAAAAAAAACTATAACATAAAGAAGCTACATTCATGAATAGTTTATTTTGTACCCATATGGCTGGAGTCTTTAGATGCTTTTTTAAGCCTTAAATAATAAGAAAACAGAGGGTTTATAACATGTGGGTTTCCTTTTTGTTTGGCTTTGGAAAGGAGTAAAGTTATGTAGAGTTGTAATCTGACCTGCAAGTATTCAGTTTAATTTCTTGCCTTAAATGTGACCTTTTCTATTAACTAAACAAAAGGAAACAAGTCGGGGGGAGCTGGCTGGGGACGGGGGGAGGTTGGGGTCACAGGCTGCGTGTTCCCAATAACCGGGATCCGCGCAGGGCTCCGGCGCTGGGGGCAAGCCCCAGCCCATCTCTCGGTGCCCGGTTTTTCAGCTCAGGGGGCAGCGGGGGGGCACAGCGCAGCCTCAGGCTCCGGGGGCTCGCGGTGACCCGCCGGGCCCAACACAGCACGCAGGTGAGCTGTCGGCACCTCTGCGCCGCGTTTAACCTTTGGGTTACGCCGGGGCACCTGCTGAAGGGCGTGTGAAGGCTCTTTACTCATGAATTCAGCCATATACATCCCCGCAGCGCTCTGGTGAGCGTGCGCCCTTCCTTGTCAACATCCGTATGCCTGGCACCGATTTTCAAAAGCCCAGTTCAGAACAGAGGAAGATCTTACTTATCTTTTCTGTAAAAAGTAACAGCCTTTAGAACCCAGTGCAAATTTTACTGGAGTTTCAATACAAAAACACCAACGATGGCCCAAATCATGATTATTTACATTGGAGAATGACTGTGCAGCAGGTGAGGGTGCCAGACTCTTCCGCTGGCATTGGGGCCGGCAACATCTTGGAATGTAAAGGGTCTGGAATAATACACGGGTTTTCTAACAACGTGTTATTGTTGCACTGCACCTTGCAAAGACCAAATAGTGTAATCAGGTCATTTTCCGACTGACGTTATGGTTTGTTTCAAGGCCTGGCTGGCAGAAAGCAGAATAGTAGTGTCAGGGTCTTGATTTTATTTTCCATAGCTGTGTGGCACCGGCATTGTGGCCGAAGAGCTCTCTGGCAGACGGGCACTGGCTGAGGGAACCTGGCGGGGTTTGTGGCAGCATCCCAGCATCAGCTTTGGAAACGGGTGTAATGTGGGCAAAGTTCTGCGTGGCGGAAGGCAGAGGAAGGTGTCACTTTTGTAGGATTGATTTCTGCTTTTCAGGAGCCCTGTCCAAAATGGAGGTGATTTCTGGGGCCACTCCTCATGCTGAAAACTAACTAGAATGCAGGTGATTGATCCAGTAAATTAAACCCACAGATTTTTCCTCAAGGGGATTATGCAAATGTTTGCATTTTGGTGGTTTTTCTCCTTGCCTGTTCTATGTATTTATGATAAAAGAATACCTGTAAAACTAAGCCGGCTTAGTAAGTCACTTACACACCACCGTTAGCTGGAGAGCTCTAGCTGTAAGACATGGATGAGAAATACACAGATTACTTTATAGGTGGTGGGTTTTTTTCCTTTTCCTGTTTGCCCGCCTTTTGTCACAAATCACTGTTGGATGTGTCACTCTTCCTAGTCTTCCTTTAGCCTCCTTCTGGTTAGTGAACATGAACTGAGGAACATGAATCTGAAACAAGCATTTAAACCCAAGGCTGAAGAGGTTCAAAATAAGGTGACCCTGCAAGTGTGATCAGATTCATAAAAAATGGCGTTGGAAGATTTCTGTTGTTTATGCCTATTTTACAAGCACTGCTGTCATTCTTCTGGAGGCTGTGCAGGAGGACGCAACGGCTCCAACAGCAGAAGAGTGTGGTGATGCAGATTTTTTTAAAAAGCAATTCCTGTAATGAGCTTTGCCAAGTGCTGCTGATTTCTTTTAGATGTAGGCCGTTCTTCTGTGCTCCTTTAGCGCCAGAGAGAAGGAAACGCTGAAAGTAGTGAGGTTGTTCTTTCGCCCCACTGCTTTTTAGCCAGATTTCAGGCACCCCCAGCTGGTACCTGTGCCTGCTCCAGCTAGGCACGGGCTCCACAGTCCTTGTTTCTCTGGGGGATGAACATGCTTGTGCCTGTGAAAAGTGAAGGAATAGATGATGTGTTCCCGTGTTCTGCTTAGCGGTGCTAAATGGAGAAAAGAAAAAGATCTGCCCCTTCCCCTGAACTGGTTGGGATGTGCTAAGCCTTCCCTCGCCCCCGTGCACCCCCCGAGCAGCTACAGGGAGCAGAAGAGGTCCCCGCTTCTCCGGGGGGCTGGCGGGTTCCCCTGCCGCGGGGCACAGCGCTGGCCACGGGGTGGGCTGGGGGGCGCGGGGCGAGGGCCCCTCTCGCCACCGGAGCTCGGCCGTCTGGCGTTGAGCTCAAACGTCCCTCTGCAGCTGGTGGATGCAGAGTGTGATGGGCTCGCCCGTCCCGGGGGATGGCGGGGCATCTGCGCCGGGGGGCTGGGAGACGAGGAAGAGGGGAGCGAGATAAATCAGCAGCCTGTTTTCTTGTATTCAGAGCTGAAATAACGTGGCCAGGTGGAAGAGATGCCGGGGATGCCTCTTCCCTCCTCACTTGTGATGCTCAGGCTGAACCTTGCTCTGCAGAATTACAGTAATATGAGCCACTTGCGTCTTTTTCAAACTTAATATTCCAACAGCCAGCAGGAATGTATTGATTTAAGCATAATAAAATTATATTTATGTAATTTTAATTTCTTTTTAATTCATCGCTCGTAATACTGTTGGACCTAATTCTTGCCTGTCTCCATCTTCCAGACGAAGCCGGGGCCCATCAAGGCAGTGGGTCTGCACAAGAGGCGCTCTGCCTCAGGGTACTGCTACAACTGCTCCCGGAAAGGACATTTTGGATATGTAAGTCCCAGAGCCTCTGCCTCGGCGTGAGGAACACCCTCGGGGTGGGGGTTCATCTCCACCACGGTGCATGGCTGGAGAAGAGAGCTGGAAGGCTACGGTGGTGCTGTACCACGGGCGGCTCTAACCCAGCGCTCGTCGCTCTGGGGCTCTGAGCCGTCAGCGGAGGCCAGTGTATAACGTGGTCTCACCCATCTAATTTAAACACACGGAGGAAAAGTTACTCTCTCTCCTTGGCAGGTTTATTCATTTGTTTTTTAAATCCTAAATCAAAACAGGACTGCCTGGGAGACAGAATATTCATTGGAAAATGCTGAACACAGCTTTTTAAGCTTTTTCTCTTTCTTTTTTTTTTCCCATGGCTCATGGGATGAAATACTAGTGTCTTACCGCCACGTTCAACATCATGTAAAGTTTTTCACCACATTCAGCGCATCAATTTGAATGCCTGTTTTAGGAATTTTCTGTTTCTGCCTGCTTTTGACCATCCTTATTTGTAGTTTCTTAGTTTAATCCAACACCTGATTTAAGTTTGACATCATCCTTTTGTAAGGCGCACAGCCTGGCAAAGGAGGGTGTTGCGAGCCTGAAGTGGCTTCAGTGAGAACAGGAGGTGTGCTGCATCCTCTGGGATTGCTTGATGACGTTTATCACCTTTTTCAGCCCCTGCTGTGGCAAGTGCAGCTCTTCCTGCAAATATCAACACCAAACAAATGTTTGTTCTTTTATAGAGTAATTCCAGAAGCCACAAGCATTCTAGGAAATCAATGTTAGTTGTGTGTTGGTTGGGATAAATTTATGGTTTCCTACAGCTTAGCGATGGGAAATTCCTCCCTTCTCTCCCGCACGCGCTGTGTTGACTCTACAGCCACTGAAGACGTGTTGTGAGACTCTTCCTGCTCTCTTTGGTGAATAGTTAATCCATGTGGGGAAGAGTGGGACAGGCAGGGCAGGTTTTCTGGAATCTTCTCATGGCAAAGCTGGAAGATGAACTGGAAGGTAAGCTGGAAGATTTTTAATGCCCAACATTGACAAATGTCAGAGTAAGTAGCGAGACTGATTGCTGTCAACGGATAAGGAGCATTTTACTGATCTGTCAAAAAACAGCGTGTGAGGAGGGCAGCCACACATGGACACAAATAAGGCTGCTGTAAAAATAATTAGTAAATATGTGGGAGGAGCTGATAGTAGTTACTTGAATAGAAAATGGTAGAAACTGTATAAAATCAGACAGGTAGTAAAGTGACTGAAGGACATTTTACAGCAATCAAAGGTCGGTATTTTCACCAGCGTGCGAGGAGCAGGAACAGCCTGAGCCGTGACTGAATGAAAAGGAGAAGTCAACAGCAACACAGAAGGGCAGCCATACCAGATCTTCCTGTATGAGCACAGAATAAACGTCCAGGACACATCAGATTATGTGGTGATACCTGTGTATTTGCCCTCAAATCACTAAACTTTCTGTCCGAGAAGGGCTGGGGAAGTTGGACCGGCACGTGCGTCTTCACAGCGACCCAGCGGACAGGCAGCGCTTCTGGGATTTGCAGCTCTCATGGGCTCAGAAAACTGAGGCTGGGATCAGGGCCTGAGTTCAGGTGGTGAGCAGCTCCATCAGAGCTTGGAAGACCTGCCTGTGATTTAAGGGGAAAATAACTCCTTTTGTTTGGTTGATTTTTAAAATGTCAATATTTTTAAGCAGGCAAAAGTTATTTGTGACAACAAGCATCTCTTAACACTTTTCCCATTTCTGTACCTCAGGAACCCTGCTCCATAGCTTGTTTTGAGCAGTTGAAGTAGAGGAATAGCAAACGGACCGAGAGGAAAGGGCTGGCATTAGCTCTGTGCAGATGCACGCTATTTTGTGCTTCCCACTGCAGCCCTTTCCTGTCATGTTACCATCTAACCTAGTTTAGGAACAGCTGAAATGCCTTTTCTTTGCCAGAGGCCTATGGAGGCCCTTCCCAAAAGCAGAGGCAAGAGCAAAAAACTTGCTAAATCCCAGAGTTAACTGTGCAGTTCCAGTAAGGAGGTCATTGAGGATCACTTCTTGTTTGCAGAAATAGAGTTAGGACATAAGGTGTCAGAGGTTCCAACACCTGCAAGTTATGTTTCCTGAACTTGCGCCACCGTTTATTAAGACAGTCACGTTTTTATGCAAACTGAAGATTTAGTAAGGACAAGAAATCTTATTTTCTGTAGCAGACTTGGCATCATAGTTCATTTCATAGCAATCAGACATCCCAAACGTCGTCTCTTATGGTCCATAACAAGGGTGTGGACATCTTGAGGGGCCAGTTCAGAGGGAAGGAGAGTTAGTGAGGGGCAGCCCCAAGCCGAGGGACCGGGGCGGTGGCGATGGAGAGAAGAGGAGCCCCCCCGGGGTGGTAGGTGTGTTTCCTCCAACAGAGCACTAACAGACCAAAAATAACAAGCCTGCAGGGCAAGCCGCAGATGTGGTCGGGATCTCCGCAGCGCTTGCACAGGTCTCACGGAAGGATGATGTGTCTGCGGGCTCCTGCGTAAAGCTGGTGTCTGTCATTTTCAGTGACCTTCCAGCAGTGTTCAGTATCTTCTTCCGTTTCTATCCAGACAGCAGGCAGCTCTGTGCCTTGCCTAGAGGCCACTCTTAGGTTTCACTGGTGTGAAACACAGGTATTTAAAGTGTCATTTCTCTGTTGGGCTTCTCTCTCGTCATAACTCCGAGGGAGGTAGAGGGAGGACCCAGGAACGGTGGGAGAGGAGGTTCTTCGTGGTGATAGCTGGCTGTTCGACGTGAAACCAGGACACGTGTACCTCACATGAACAGCCTCAGGCGACACAGGACTCGCGTGTCCCCTCCCAGGTCCCTTTCGGCCTGGTTTTGCAGTGGGGTGAGGCCGAGCCCTCCGACCTGGGCAGGTTCTGACTATGGGCTGCCGTCACTCCTCCGCAATCCTCCACACATGTGGAGACAAGCCAGAAGTAACACAACCTAAGGACACCCTTCTGGAGGACACTACAGAGAATAGCACCATTCTTTGTTTAATTTCAGCCAAGCAAAGGCCAAATAAAAGCTGAGAAACAGGAAATATATCTGAAATGCATCTTTTCTGCACTGTTTCTCTGAAAGAGAGGGGAGCAGGCAGAAGGGCGCACAGGGAAGGGGGGTTCTGAAGGTGCTACTGCATGGTAGAAATACCAGAGAACGTAGAAATAGTAGGAAAAGTGGTAGAAATGGCAAGAGGAAAGCTGCTTATCTTGTGGTAGAGACGTCAGGGTAGGTGAAAGCTCCTGACCATTTCTTGAGAATGGCGAGGCCCAGAGTTTACTCGATTTGGGAAGTACTGAAGAAGCAGAAAGGTAACAAGCTATTTACAGGGAGAAGAAAGCATCAGTTAATATCACATGGTGCCCTGAAAAAAAGACAGAACCATAGGAAGCATCCCAGTTCGCCTGGCTGACAAAACATTGCTACCACTAGAGTGGCGAAAAAATCCGTACTTCTGTGTCAGGTGTTTGGGAAATGGGCTGACACGTGTGTGATGCAGAGCCAGCCCCTGGCTCACCTCAGTCGGCTGGTCGGGGCTCTCCTCCTCTCCCCTCAGCGTCCAGTGTCCTGCAGGATCTGTGTTGGGTTTGTACCTATGCCGAGACCGCGGGCAGCTGGACACCCCTGGCCCCACCGCCGCTCCCTCCCTCAGCCCACCCACCCCTGGAGTCGACCACATTTCTGCACACACCTTCACCCCGGAGGGTCCAGGCTAAAAGATCACAAGTATTTGTCTTCCGAGGGGACGGGGCACAAGGAGCAGTGCTGGGGAGCTGCCCGGCTGCAGCGGGGCGCCCCGCTCCCGGCCCGGCGACTGCGTTCGCCTCCC